GAGCTGGGCGGGACCGGGCCGGGCCGGCTGCTCCCTCCCGCTGGAAGCCCCAGGTCACCCCATCCATCCGGCCGCGGCCGCGGCGACCAATCAGGGCGGCCGAGGGCGGGCGGCCCCGCACGCCCAGTGCTACTCCAGGCCGTTGACCGGCCGCGCCCAGGGCAGTGTGGGGTGATGGTTCCCGGGCTCCCGCAGGGGCGAAGTCCGGGGAGGACAGTCGCGCTTGCCCGGGCCGCCCCCTGTACCCGCGCGGAGCTGGCATCGACCCGTGACTGCTCGCGGAGGGGGCTCCTACCCAGTCTCGCCCGGGCCGCGCCTGCTCCTGCCCCCACCAGCGCGATCCGCTCCCTGGTTCCTGCACACACGCACTGGAGCTAGCGGAGTGCCTCCGCCCGCTGAGCACACGGCCGGCTGGAGCAGAGCCGGGGACTGCCTCAGAAGGGGAAGGATTTGCCTGGCTTCCCCGTGCGGCCCCGCGGTGCCCGGCCCTCGCCTTATTCGGGCCTGTTTGTTATGCAAGCAGTAGATCGTGGGCTGACTGTGACGACACAATGGTGTGGAGGGGGGACAAATGAGAAGAGGGCTGGGATAGAGGGGGGCTCTATGACGTCACGATGCTCGGGGCCAATCCGGGGACGGTGGAACTTTCTAAGCCCACCAAGACTAGAAGAGCCTCTCCATTAGAAAGGTGACCGAATGCAGAGCAACTGATTCCTTGGGAGAGCTCAGCAAACAGGATAAGGACAGAGTTCTTCTGAACATGAGTTCAAAAGAAATTTTTTTGCAAAAATCTAGTCGGTTTAATAAAGGAGATCACTTCTACCACGAGTTCTGATTCCTCTTGCCGTCTACACCAAAGGTTTTCAACCTTTTTGGATCAGTGTACCCTTGGCGGCCAGACATAGACCAGCATCCCCCACTCCCCCGGCAGCACGATGCGGCGCAGGCCCAAATGAGGCCACCCCCACCCAGCTGGATGAGGAGCTGGGGTCAGAGGGTGGCGTGTAGCTGGATGCAGAGTGGGAGGTGGGCATGCGGCTGAACATGTAATGGTGGCAGGCACTGTGTGTGAGCTTCCCCTGCCCCCCCGGATCCGGCCAGGCGGGTGGTGCCTGCCTGGAAGCGCAAGTTGGTGCATGGCAACGTTCCGTTCCCACCCACCCGCACGTACCCCCTCGGGCCTTCTCAGGTACCCTCGGGTACGTGTACCCCCAGTTGACATCCCCTGGTCTAGAGCAATACAGCTACAACCTGGATACCTAAGAACATGAGTTGCCATTTACTAGGTCAGACCATAGGGGCAGAGGGTGGATGCTGAAAGGGAGAGGTAACGGGGTATGACCAGGGTTTTTTTCCCCACTGTTCCTCTCCCCCTTGCACGCTCCAGTGCTGAAGACCTAGGAAGTTCTCATTCAGAGGCTGTCCCTGTGCTTAGTAACTACTGATGCCCCTTTTCTCCAAGAATTTGTCCAATCCCTTTTTTGAATCTGGCTAAACTGTCAGCTTCCATAACATATAGTGGCCATGAGTTCCACAGTTGAATTACATACTGGGTGTCTACATGAGACACTGACTATGCAGTAGCCCAATACCATGACACAACAGTAGGATTTGAACAGTTTGCAATAAATAAGGCAGAAAGCCTCACATTGGACAATAAGATTAAGCAAAACATTGAATAGCACCTCATTAAGTGGTGTGATGACACAGGAAATCTGTAGAAAAAGAGTCAGTATATGATCATGTAATCAGGCTATATCATAAAATATGCAGGCCACAGAGCCAAATTAAAGCTCTGTGGCAATCTAATTTTTGCATTTAGTAACCTTTAAGTGCCTGACTATGTAGCCCCCCCCTGCCCCTTTTTTTTGTTTTAACTAGGGTTTTTGTGTTATATAAATACAATACTAACTGGGCCTTCTGTGGCTAACTTGTTAGTTATATATATATAACATATATATAACTGTATATATATATACAGTTTATCACTGTCATATCTGAGTGACTACAAAAGCGTCTTATTTGAAGTAGCCTTTTTAATGTGCCTCCCGTATTTAGAATACTTAACAGAGACATTCTCTTTTCCCAGAGGAGTTAGCTATCCATGAGGAATTAGCTATCCAAATTAAACAGATTAAATAAGGGGATACATTTTGGGAAGATGAGCATCCTCACGGTCAAACATGAGTTGTGGTAATAGTAATCTGTAGTTGCTGATAATTTCCTTTCACAATAATGCAACAGAATAAAATTTGGGGACAATGACTTATTCAAACCCTGGAATGGGGAACCATTTGTTTTTCCATGACTGTTTCATCCCCTCAACCAGATGGGAGAAATCTCCACCTGAATTTTGTGAAAGAATTAGAAGAGAAAGTATTTGCTCGATCCATTTATAAAAGCTATAAAAGATAAACAATTCTGTTTAAAGTTTCATTGTTATTATGTGACTGTTTACCAGTCCAGTTGCCTAGCACAACTTCTTACCTATAACATACATGAAACAACAAGAACATATAAGTATTAGGGAATTGTACTGCACCCAAGGTCATGAAGTTGTAATAATTTTGTAACATGAATGGATATGGTTTAGAATTAGACTTCCACAATCCTCAGATGGTGCATTAAAACATTGTTGTGGATGAATAAGATTATTACACAATGTGGGTCTGTTATTTCTACCCATCTTTATAAAACTGGTCTGGGGGATGCCACCAAATCCAACATGTTTTACTAGAAATAGGCAACTTGGTTGGGTATGTTGGAGATTTTTTAGTCCTGCTTGGCCTCAACCAATTTTAGACTGTGCTTTGAAACTGTATAGGTACAGAATAAATTATTTGGCTTTTCAGATTTAAATCATTCCAACAACAAAATGATAATTTCCAAATTGACTATTAGCAGACTATTAAACACACACAAAAATGGATTTAAATGGATAGTGAGGTAGATAGTAGCTGCTGCTTCCTCTTATTGCTAGTTAAGAAGTTGTAAAAAAACCCAACACACAACTTTGAAAACCTCATAAAATGGGTTTTATATTGGAATAATGTTACTTATGTTAAATAAGGAGCATCTCTTTTAGTTCAGTGATCATAAAATGCAAGACAATCATGCCTCTAAGATTCATGATGTAATTTGCACATTGGGAAGATTCCAAGTTTTATCTGACAGTTATGATTCTGTAGTGGACTGGAATATCGCTATAGATCCCTCCATTGAATAACCTGTCAGGAATAACAAGGATTTCAAATTTAGTTGGCATATCATTGTGATGGATAATTGTAGATTTGAAAAGCATAGAAGAGAAAAGAATAGTGGGTGGCATTTTTCCTTTTTTAAGATTACACACACACACATGCATGTACGTGCACACACACACACACACACACACACACTCTTTCTCTACTTCTCATTGGCAATTTTGCCATAACAAAACAACAGAAATCTATATAGCTGACAAAATTAAGGAATTTGGATTGAAACCCTTTGAAAGACCAAGGCCTCTATTTACAAAAGCATCCAGTGACTTGGGGTACTGGACATGAGACAGTGGCCCTAATTTTCTAGGGGACTGGATATGTAGATTCATCTTGTTCTTGGACTGACTCAAACCCATTGTAGTCTGTCCATAGACTTCAGTGGACTTTAGGCCCCAGGTGCATGCAAACTGCTGTTTTTGTTTCGTTGGCATTTCTGGGATCAGAGGGGGTATGAGAGAAACCTTGTTACTGAGGAAGAAAAGACAGGAGATGGGGTAGACAGTTTAAGTTTTGCTAGCAGGTTGTTAATATGACAGTTGAAAGTCACCTGTCTACAGCCATTTCATTCCTCACTGAGACATCTCTAAAGGGTGCTCATGCAGACCAGCTCTGTCAGTGAGGAAAGTGGGACAAGGTCATAGAACAGTATCTGAATCCCAATCTCAGAATTCCCAGGTAATAAGAATTAGGCAAACAGATAAATTGTAGTTTAATCACACAAGGGCTTTAAGGTTTGGAAAGTAGCTTTGGTTTTAAAAGGAAGCCTTTAATGAAGGGACAGATAGAGGTCAATGTAATTTGGGGCTGCATGTACTGAAGCATGACATCATAGCTCAAAGGTTTCAAATAATAAAGGCTTCATGAGAGACCATACCAGTCTTAATAATAACGATTCTACTCTGAGGAATCTAGTGACTGTAATTGGCATATCATATTCAGTAGGCGTCTGGGGCCTCATATTCAGAAAGATTTTAATGAAGTTGTTCAGAGAAGGGCAATAAAAATGACCAGGGAATGAACAGGCAGATATGAGAGAAGTTTAAAATAATTATCATTTGAATTCATAGAACATTTTTCCTCCAACATTGTCCAAGTCCTTTATGAACATTAATTCTCACAACACGTGAGACAGATAGCTTAACCTTCTTTTACAAAAAAGAGACATGTTGGTGATTTCAGAAGTGCTGAGCACTTACAGAAATCAGGCCACAAATGACTTGTCCAAGGTCACAATATGTCAGTGGCAGAGATGAAAATAGAAGTTATGAATCCCCATCTACTGGTGGATTTATTAGACACTCTCCTTAAATGTATACTGGAAAGCTTGGCTAGGTGAAAATATTGAAGTGTACAAATGCCCTGGGAAGGAGGAATTATACAATATCAATGTCAAGGGAAAAATCCCTATGAGGCTTAAATCTGAAATCTAAAACTGTCTAAAGAAACAGGGGTGGTAGAGAGGATTTGATACAAGATTTTAAACAAGGCTCAACAAAATACTGAATGACCTTCTTCAAGGAAACAGTCCTACTGGGTACATAGATGGATGTATAGATCTTTTATCTTTTCTATTATTTTAGCTCAGTTTAGTCCCAAACATGGATGGATAGCAGTGGAGCATATTAAACACTGTGGATATGTTCTAAAATAATAATATTCTTACTTGATTAAAAGGTCATATAAATCACCATTCTTCATGTGCCACTCTGACTTATTAGTGCAAAATATGCAGTCTTGTATTTCACTGGCTTCTGTCCAGGCTCACTGTAGCAGATTCACGTTCTTTATCAGTGAGATGAGGGGATGTGATTACAGTTCCCTTTAAATCAAACATTGGACTAAAAGTCTAAGGCTTACATTTCTGTATTTGCTGCCTATGGTTCCCCCCTCCTCCTTTCTATACCAGCCACAAACACTTCTCTTCATGCTATTACACAGTTGGATGTAATTGTGCCAATCACTTGATCCTTGTAGAAAAGGCTTAGGACCAAGTTTCTTCTTGATTCAGTATTTCTTAGTTGGCAGGCATTATGAACTGATGACTTAAAATGTCTTATGAACTGATGTTTAAAATGTTGTTCTGACTATTATAAGGACACAGCACAAGGCTAGTTGTGAGCAAATGAACTATCCATTCCTACAGATGATCTCATTACATTACTGGCTAAAACTTTGGCTTTTATTTTAATCCTTTCAGAGCAAGAACACTCTTGTATCATTGGAACATAATTCATTTCAAGTTTGCTGCTGCTCCTGTTGAAGGTCATGGCAAAATTCCCATCAACTTTAATGAAGGCAGGACTTTCCCCTCTGTGAACATTCCTGTTCTTCACATTAACACAGAAGCTGCTCCTCAAGAGAAACTAGTAATGGACACCATCATTCTTTTACATCTCCCTGAAACACTCCATGCTGTAAGTGAATGATTACCTTTTAAGACTGAGACTTGCACTAAAATATCAACATTACTAAGGATTCTCAAAGCTAATTCTACCTCAAAGAGAACAGACTTGTGTCCTGCAACACTAAAATATTTGATTTCTTGTCAGCTGGAATCCAGATTTAATAATTAGAAAATGTTCTTGACCATATCAATGAATACATTTTACTTCCACATTAAATTGCTTTGTTGTTTCAGAGGGAACGGACAATAAAAAACCACAGTGTTGATTGCTTTTCTAAGTCACTCAGCCTAGATATCTTTTTATTTAGTTTTCTTATTAAGACAGCATCTCTTGATTGCCTTGATATGATAAAACCATAACATCTATGGATCAGAGAACATCCTTTCCACATTTATTGGCACTACTCAATCGTACTTTTAGTAGTCAGTGGCACTCTTCATAAAAATACAGGACAATTAAAAAATATCTTTGACAAGGAAGAGAGAAAAGAGTAGTTGAGGTAAAACAGGCATTAAGATAAAGGAAAAAAATACTCTTGGAAATTGTAAAAAAAACACTAACTCATAAGCACCTTGCATTTCTCAGTGTTGAACGCCATCAGGTTTTGATCTGCTCACCTTGCAAACCTGTCCAGGTCAGCCTGAGTTGCTGGCTTATCCTCAAGTGTGACCACACTTCCCCATAGTTTGGTGTCATCAGTGAATTTAGCCAGTCCACTTCTGATACCTGAATCCAGATTGTTTATAAATATGTTAAAAAGTACTGGTCCAAGTATGGAGCCCTGGGGGATGCCGCTGGTCACCATGCGCCATGTTGACATGGTTCCATTGACTATCACTCTCTGGGTCCAACCACGGAGCCAGGTCCCGAGCCATCCCGAGGTAGTCGAGGCCACAGTCCCCCAGTTTAACCATGAGGACTTCATGGGAGACCAAGTCAAAGGCTTTTTTGAAGTCCAAGTAGATGATATCAACCTCTACTGCTTTCTCCAGGTGATGCGTCACCTAGTCCGAGAAGGAAATGAGGTTGGTCAGGCAAGACCTCCCCGTAACCAAGCCATATTGTCTATCATTCAGAATGTTGCATTCCATTAGCCTGTTGGTAGTGGTTTCTTCGATGATTTTCTCCAATATCTTCTCAGGGATTGAGCTCAAACTGATTGGCCTGTAGTTCCCTGGATCTTCCTTCCTCATTTTCTTGAAGATGGGCACCACACTGACCCTCTGTCAATCCTCAAGAACCTCACCCAAGTACCACAAGTTCTCAAATATCCTTCCCAATGGCCATGCTAGGATGTCTGCCAGCTCTTTTAGCACTCTTGAGTGCATTCCATCCAGGCCAGCTGATTTGGTGTCCAGCCTCTCAATGTGGCCCCTCACAAGATCTTCACCAATGGTGGGTATGTATTCGTCCATGCCCTGACAATCCTGCATCTTGATAGGCAGGGAGATCCCCTTGGGCTGGTGGAAAACCAATGAAAATAAATGATTAAGGAGATCAGCTTTTTCCTGAGTGTTGGTTGTCAGCTGCCCCATTTGGTTTAGCAAGGGTCCAATGTTGCTCTTGTTTTTCTCTTAACTACCCATGTACTTGAAGAAGCACTTTTTGCTGTCCTTGATTTCTGTAGCCAATCTGAGTTCAGTTTTGGCCGTGGCTTTCCAGGTTTGCTCCCATAGGTGCGGTGTCCAGCCTCTCAATGTGTCCCCTCACAAGATCTTCACCAATGGTGGGTATGTATTCGTCCATGCCCTGACAATCCTGCATCTTGATAGGCAGGGAGATCCCCTTGGGCTGGTGGAAAACCAATGAAAATAAATGATTAAGGAGATCAGCTTTTTCCTGAGTGTTGGTTGTCAGCTGCCCCATTTGGTTTAGCAAGGGTCCAATGTTGCTCTTGTTTTTCTCTTAACTACCCATGTACTTGAAGAAGCACTTTTTGCTGTCCTTGATTTCTGTAGCCAATCTGAGTTCAGTTTTGGCCGTGGCTTTCCAGGTTTGCTCCCATAGGTGCGGGCCAGTGCCGAATAATCCTCTTTGGTGATGTTACCTGACTTCCAACTGTTGTAGGCTTCTCTTTTCAGATACAGGAGGTCCATGAGTCCCTGATTTAGCCATGGGGTTGCCCAGCCCTTTTGCTACCATTCCTGCAGGCTGGGGTGGACTTCCTTTGTGCTTCAAGGATCACGTCCTTAAGGAGTGACCACTCATCATGGACTCCCCTCTCTGTTAGATTCTGGCTTCTCAGGGCCTCAGCAACCAGTCTCTTGAGCTAATGAAAATTGGCTTTCCTAAGATCAAGGATTTCTGAATTGCTGACCGATTTGCCAGCTTTGCAATGGAGAGAGAAAGTGATCAACTCATGATCACTGTCTCCCAGCTTCCCTTCAATTCTCTGGTTGCTCACTAGATCATCCCCTTTGGCCAGTACCAGGTCCAGTAGCACCTTACCTTTTGTTGGCCTGTAGACTTCTTGAGACAAGTAGAGTTGATCAATGCAGGTGAGAAAGCTATGTGACCAATAAGATTTGGCAGAGTGCTCCTCCCATGAGATGTCAGGGTAGTTAAAGTCACCCATGACAACCATGCACTGAGGGCCTCTGCTAGTTCCCTAGCGAATGCGTTGTCAAGATCTTCCTCTTGGTTAGGAGGTCTGTAGTAGACTCCTACCAATATATCCCCTTCACCACGTACCCCTGTAATCTGACCCAGAGGGTCTCAAGTCACCCTTCTTGGGTGCCAAACTGCATTCATGTCAACACCACTTGTCCCAGCCACAAGTTTATTTCTATGACATGATCATCCCTGCCAGGACCCCTCCTTGCCTTCCATGGTTTGGGAAAATTGATGAGAACGACCCTTGTGCTCCAAGTTCCTTAATCAAGAGACATTTGGATGCTTATTTTGCTGGGATCTTATAACCCCTGCTGACTTTCTGCCCTTTGGACAGGGGGCTGGACTCGATGATCTTCCGAGGTCCCTTCCAGCCCTAATGTCTATGAAATCTATGAATCCCACAGCCAAGAGCTCATATGTGCCTGTAATCTGTTCTATGTCATTCGACAGTATTGGTGGGCCATATAACAACAATCAGGAAAGGGTAATGGCTTGAGGGACGCATAGTTTTTTGTCTTTTTGTGACATCCAAAATTCAGGCTCTAGGTAGACAGAACACATCCAGGGTCCCGAAACCCAGATGACAAATCAGTGCCTCTGTCCCCCACAGAAGTGAGTCACAAACCACCACCACTTTTCTTCCTTCTTGGTGCAGTGATCCTAGAGACCCCATCCCTGGGACCCTGCACTTCTTTCTCTGTAGACTTCCAGGTCCTCTGCATCATGCCTGCAGATGTCCTCCAATCTGCCTTTTCCTCATCTGTTCCACCACAGAGCACTTGAAAGTGATTGCTGACTTTAATCTGCTCCTCTTGAATTCTGGGGACCCTTCTTTTTCCAGTAGTCACATACTTCTACTGTTTTCACTTTGACCTCTCCAGTACCAACCTCTCCTAAATCCTGTTCATGTAATATACCTTTTCCTTGATGTAATGCAGCATGGGTACCTTTGCTTCCAACCTTTGAATCTTTTCCTCCAGGGCTAACACTGGCTTACACTTGGTGCAGATGAAGTGGTCTTGACCCTGGGATCAACATGAACAACTGCTGACTCAGCCTCCATTTATGCCTTCTTTTTTCCCTGGAGGGCACTTATAAACAACACAACAAAAATGTAGCAGCTGCTGCCACTGTTCCATGTACTACCACCATGTAGAATGCAAAACTACCCAGTTACACCTCTGGAGACTGGTTTCATTTTTAACATAAAACTGAAACCATATGCACCATATATTTTCCATTATTATTCATGTCTATAGAATATCGCAGAAATATACAGCATTTTGCAGGGAGACATGAAAGCAAGATCCTTGCCCCTGGGTAGTATATGCTCTAATTCTAAGAAATGTAATTCAGTAAGCAATAAAGTACAAAAAATATAGGAATGGAAATCAAAGATTAAATAGAATGAGGAATGTTGAAAGCATTGGGAGGTTTGTCACTGGTCCTAATAAGCATAAGGTTAAGTTTATAATGCAAAGCATATATAGCCTCAGAAACTGGGCTTTTTGATTTAGCAAGCTTCTGTTCTCTGCTTACTGTAGCCAAAAGTCACTATATAAGGGGGTTGTGTAATTCAGTCCAATTATCCCATAACATTTAGACCAGGACTTATACAGGAAGTCCCTCCTTCTCAGGATTGAATGTACCTGTTCAATCCAAGCACTCTCTTTTCCCCAGTCCTCTTACTATGGCTAAAATATTTTTTTCAGCTTGTAGTAGGGATTCAGACCTCCTTCCCTTAAGATACAAGGATTCCAAACAGTCATTACCTCTGTGAGTCTTTTTCTAAGACAGGGAAACTTCTAAGTACCTTTTTCACTTTCCATATTGGAAGGCACAACCTGTCCTCCAGATCCTGCTTCCCCTCTCTCAGCAGGCAATGCAAGAGGGGGAAAACAACCTGATGCTGTGTCAGTCATTTCTTATGCACTGTGCAGGGCCGCAAATATTGGCTACTGTTTGGTAAAAGTGCCAACAGTAATTAAAGTAATCAACACATTATTTATTCACTTAACACTTCTGTAGTTTAACTACCTTCCATGGGCAACTGGTGCCTCCTGGGTCAGGGGGGGCACATGTGCCTCCATTGGCCAGTCAGTGACCGAGGGGAGGGGGGTCTCCCTGCAGCCGATCTCGCCACCTGGGGACACCCGTGGCTGATCGCAACGACCTGGAAGCTCAAGTGGCTCTCCCAGAAGTGCCGGCGGCACTTCTCCTGGTGCACCGACTCCCAGACTGGCGTTCACAGAGGGGGCATGTGCACCTCCGTGCACCCCCTATGCATCACCACTGCTACCTTCTGTATATGCAGGCTGTATATTAATATACACTTTTGCCTATTGTTGTTTCTTATTGTCCCAGAGGTATTTAATTAGAGACACCCTAATCTGTTATTTCTAATGTATTTAATATAAGAACATTAAAGATGGATCTAATCTTTCAGCTCTTTTGCTTGTAGCCCTGTGGGGTCAGGCC